CCTTGATCCAAATGCAGAAGAAATAATAATGATAATAATGGCAATAAGAAAGGCTATCATTTCATGAATGCCTGCCATCTGCTGCGCTGTGCTGCTTTTAAACATTGTTTCCAATCCTTATGCTCCATATGAACTGACTGGGACTCTTTTTTTTTTCCAATGGGGGAAATTGGGGCTCAGAGGAAGAAAGGATTGTGTCCAAGGTCAAGCCAGATCTCAAATGGGAAAGACAAGAGTTGAATCTGGGTACATCATGCCAAAGTTTAAATCCTTCCCACCGCTAAGTGACAAGGGGAGTCATTCTGGGGACTGTGTACTCCAGGCAACGGGGGAAGCAGGTTCCCCTGCAGGTCTCCTAGGGGGCGCTGCCTGCAAGGGAGACTTGGTCTGCGGTGATTCTTGCGAGTGTCCGAGCCCCAAAGGGCATAGGGGTTGGGGGAGGAGGCTGGGGCTCTGAGTGTGTGTGTGTGAGAGTGGGCTAGTTTCTCATGTGTGTGTGATAAAGGGACTCACAGAGACTAATACTAATAATCACATTAATATCGAGAGTGAGGATAATGGCAGCAGTGATAAACATAGGGACCATTTCTAGGCACGCCCTGTGTTAAGCGCTTTATCAGAACTATCCCATTCCCGAACAGCAGGCAAGAGCCAGGTCTCAGGGTCAGGCGGATTGGTCTGGAGTCCGAGCTCTGCCATGCTTTGCCTGTGGGGGGAGTCATTTGGAAGGGGGGGCGGGTGGTGTTGTTTGTGGGGCCTGATGGGCCAGCTTGAAGGTCTCTGGGTCTGGTGGGTAGAGGGCGTGAGTGCTGGCTGTGCCGTGTTTTTGTTGGGTGAGGACTCACTAGTGGGGGTCCCCTCTTGGAGTGGAGCTCTTGGGTTGGCTCAGGTATGCCAAGCTCTCAGCCCTAGGTAGCTCCATGGGACACATTCCAGGAAACATCCCTCTTCAGCTCTGAGGGCCCGGTCCAGCTGTGTCCCCTCCTTCCCCCTCCTGGAGACCCCCTCTGACTGGTGCCTGCACACTCAGTGCCCCTGGAGGGGAGGGCTGAAGGGCGGGGAAGAAATAGGAGAAAGGCCCGGGGGGCTCCTGTGGCTCTGGGCTGTGTGCTGCCGGACACGGACTTTGAATCCGTCTGAGCACTAGGGGGCAATGTGTCTGTTCCAAAGAAGTGGCGGGCCCTTGCAGGTGGAACTCACACACAGGCACTCGCTGGGGCGCCCACCCCGAGGAGTTGCACACCAACGGCGTGTCCATGAGCACAGATGGGCACAGGCCTTGGCGCTGGCTCTCACACTCACATCAAACACATACACGTGAGCAGAAATGCAGGCACAAAAGGTATGAGGAAGGTGCGTGCACAGGGAGGCACGTACACAGAGACACACACACGGAGAAGCACTTGGGGCACAGACAGCCTTCCTCCCCCAGGGACACTCTCAGAGACACCCAGAGACGCAGGCACACAGAGGCATGCATGCAAACACAGACAGATGTCCCGCCACTCCCACTCAGAGGAAGACACAAATGCAGGCACGTGCCATGTGCCCACACGGCATTCGCAGTGTTAAGGAAAGGTGGCCCGGACCCCCAGCCTGGGCAGAAACACAGCTAGGCCCAAACACACCCTGCTTTCAGACACTTGCACACCTTGTAGGCCGAACTCTTGGAAATAGCCCCCAAAACAAACCTACACACCCCTCCCTGGAGTGTACAGAGTTACTCCACAGGAAACCTGCCCAGGTGTTCAGGGGGCCTCTGCCCAGCCCTGAGCGAAGTCATGCCTCAGCCGAGAGCACATCCCAACTGGGGCTCCCCAGACTGCAGGTCTGCGGGTCGTTCTTCCCACTGCCTGGCCTACCCAGGGCTCCAGACTGGTCTCAACTTTCCATCTTCCCTCTAGACACATGGGCACATAAGACCCCTCTCATAGGTGCCTCTTAAGATACTTGTAACCCAGAACCAACCACTGTGGACCAGGTATGTGAACGGGTGTCATAGGCTTTGCACAGGCATTGGCCCACACAGGGGTCTCCCCCCTGGCAACCAGTACCACTACTGGTCTCCTTCCAGACCCAGAGGCTTAGTGTCTCCCAGGTTCTGGACTGGGGCCCTGTGGGCGGGGGGCATCAATGGAGGCCCACCCAGGCCCTTTATTTCTTTGTGCCTCCATCAGCCAAGCCTCACTCTTTTCTCAGTCTCTCACTTCTCTGTCACTTTGCTAAGTAATAATTTCCATGTCCAATTCCATTTCTTTTCTAGTTCTGAAACCTCTAAGCTATCAGCAAGAGGATAGTTCACATGAAAACTAATTACACAAAATCAATATTTAATCACAGACCAACAACCTGATCCTGCAGAAAAATCCTTTTAAAACTCCACCGCCCTGTACAAATACTCCTTCCTGATGCTTATTTATGGACCCCATTTTTGGTGGGAGTCATTTTCATTTTTAATTTCAAAAAGAAAAAAAATATCTGTCCACGTCCACAACAGGGAGATCCCGTGAAGGGCCTTAGGTCTGAGCTTGCTTCAGTTCTCTGAATTTCAAAGTTGCAGGGTTTTATTGTTTGCTTTTATTTTTAGTCTTCTTTGCGGGGGGGGGGGGGGGATCATTTTCCTCTGCAGTCCCTCAAGATTCTGTTTCCTGCATCTTCTCACCCTAAGTTGAGCTCTTTCCCCAGCCTTTCTGCAAATCCGGCATCTGTCTTCCCAGCAGCAACTCCGGGGAGCAATGAATCGGCCTGCACCACGCGGTAACTTTTTAACTCCCTCCCGAGTTCGTGGAGTGCTTAATCTGAGGTTTTTAAATAAAAAGGGCTCAGGGGTTGGTTTTATTATAACGTTTATTTCATTTCAGATTTCATGCGTAATTTAGCAAACGCTAGACAGACTTGGGCGATAAACACTTTCTTTTGTGGGGGAGAAAAGGCATTTTTATACACCATGCTTAATTTTATTTAGATTTAATAGCGATATCAGGGGCACTTCAAAGAAAGTTCTTTTTTTTTTTCCTCTTCCCTTTGCCTAAGAATGCTAGTTGGCTCACAAAATTGCCTCGTGCTATTTTATGGCAAGGAAAACACACACAGGCAGGCAGGCACACAGAATAAACGCCTCCACTACCCTCTATCACCTTTAACTTCCAACTTCTAATTGCTAGATAGATTTCAGCCTCAGTGGGGATCAGGAAGATCTAAACATTTTAACTAAGATTATTGGGATAAATATTTCATAAAGAGCAGGGCAGATATTAAATTACTCCTATTGATTTTAGTATCACAACCCAATTTCGTTCCTTGGCCTCTTCCGTTTAATTGATCTCTTAAGGAGGCCAACCTCTCGCCCACCGAGGGTCTGGGCCTGGCCCTGGTGCCAGGAGTAAGGTGCTCCAGCCCACCCGTTCGTCCTCCGCTCGGAGGTCTTTCCTGTGTTCCAAGCTGCTTCGCCGGTCTGCGCTGGACTTAGCCGATGTGTCCACCATAAAGTGACCCAGTGGTTATGGCTCCTCCCGGAGGAAGAAGCCAGCGACTGAGGGCTGGGAACCCCAGGCTGAGGCATTTAGGGAACAATCGTGCTCCCGAGTGAGAGAGGAGGGACTAAGAGTCCTGGTCTCTCGACGAGAACCCTAACTTCAGATTTTCCTGTCTGCTTTCACCTCCAAGAAAATCCGAGGGCGGGTTAACAGGGGCGCCTCTAAGAAGCAGACAAGCAGTGGGGAGCCGAGGGTTCGTCCTAGGCTGAAGCACAGTCGATTCTTAGCGACTTTACGTGGCAAGTCCAGGAGCTTTGCCGGGCGACCCCATTGTCTGAGCGCCCCGCACCGCTTACCGCCCACCTCCCCGCCCCCTGCCCACCCCGCAGGTCTCTCTTCAGTTGGGGGTGGGGAGTTGGTAACTGTGTGAGTGGGAAGGGGTGCGAACAAAGGCAAGCTCCCACCACTCTAAGTCTGCACCCTCCTCCCCCGGGAGACCAGGGCTAGCTCCCAGAGCGCTGGCACCCGACCCCCAGGCGAGACTAGCGCGGGGAACCCCGGAGTTGGCGAAGTGCGGGATCGTACCGGGGCCTCAGCCGCCAGCTCCCAGGACCACCTTAAGAGCGAGCCCCGCCCCGGACCCGGAGCTCGGACTGCGCTGATTGGTGCAAATGCAATGGCTGAAATTGATTGCTGAAATGCAAAACTTGTTGCTGCTTCTCCCAGCGCTGGGCGAGACGCAGACACAGAGAGGGGAGCTGAGACCCTCGGAACGCCCCACGCAGAGCCCCCCCCCCCCGCTAGCCAGGAGAGGGGTGCGCGGCCCCCCCAGAGCTGCCCTCGACCCCCCCATTTTGGTCTCTGAGAGCTCAGCCGGAACGCCTTAGCCTGCTCGCCCAGCGTGTCCCTCAGCCAGCGTACGCCCCCCTTTCGGGGTCCGAGGGGGACTCGCGAAGCACCTCGGCGCAGAGGCAGGGAACCCGAGCTTCGGAGCAACCCAACCCCTCGTTTCTCTGCCTGTCTGCGCCTGGAACCGGGCGTGGAGACCCCAGCGAACTCAGAGACTCAGCAGCAGAGGACCTAAACGGCAGGAGGCGGACCTGGCCGCGAAGAGGCGCGCGGGGGTGCGGCGCGCCGGGGTACAGCTGACTGGCCACGGAGCAGGGGAACCGTGTCTTCTCCCCAACCCTCGGCTCCAGCCCCGGGTGCCTGCCACCTCCCCAGTCCCGCTGCGACCTCGGCTCGAGGGCGAACGTTGGTGATGCCGAGCGGAGCCTGCAGTCCTCCAAGCCGCTGAAGAAACAGTAGCCGCTTGCTCGGGGCCGACCGGGACTGTGCGAGCGGATCGTGCTTGGTGGAGGCTCGGGCTACCGAGTGCCGGGACTCCGGGGGGAGGGGGGAGGGACCACTCTGTGTCCGGGCGGCAGCCACGGCTTTAAAGGGTCTTTCTGCCCGACCCTTTAGCAGCTCCTCTACGAACTCCGGGAGGCTTCGGGCGGCGTCCTGGGGCTCCCTACGCGACCTGATCGGACTTAAGAAGGTGATCGCTCTGATTTCCCTGCCTCCTTCCCGCCTCCTTCCCCCTACTTAACTTTTTGTCTCTACTCACCTGCAGCTCTGTCCCCTCCCCGCAAACCCACCAGTGGCTGTGCCAACCGTGCTGGGCATGGGCCCTCCAACACCTCTCCTGGAGGCCCCGCGGCGCCGCAAGATGTGAGAGGCCCGTGTGGGGCAGAACCAAAGCTTCGGGAGATAGCCCGAAGTCTCCACACGCCAGGAGGGGTGGCTGCGCGCGCTGTGCGCCCACGGTACTGATCGTCCCGGAGCGCCCAACCCAGGGCCAGAACGAGTAGCTGGCCGGAGGCGCGCAGCGGGGAGCAGGCTGTCATGCCCTATTGATTCCCCCACCCCCCGCCAAGTATGTTTGGGCTGGACCAATTCGAGCCCCAGATCAACAGCAGGAACGCTGGCCAGGGCGAGAGGAACTTTAACGAGGCCGGACTAAGCATGAGCACCCACTTTAAGGCCCCGGCTTTCCACGCGGGGGGACCCCCTGGCTCCGTGGACCCTGCCATGAGTGCGCTGGGCGAGCCCCCGATATTGGGCATGAACATGGAGCCTTACGGCTTCCACACGCGCGGCCACTCGGAGTTGCACGCGGGGGGGCTGCAGGCGCAGCCGGTGCACGGATTCTTTGGAAGCCAGCAGCCGCACCACGGCCACCCGGGAGGTCACCACCCCCACCAACATCACCCTCACTTTGGGGGCAACTTTGGTGGCCCGGACCCAGGGGCCTCGTGCCTGCACGGGGGTCGCCTGCTCGGCTACGGCGGCGCCGGCGGCGGCCTGGGCAGCCAGCCGCCCTTTGCCGAGGGTTATGATCACATGGCGGAGAGCCAGGGGCCTGAGAGCTTCGGCCCGCAACGACCCGGGAACCTCCCGGACTTTCACAGTTCGGGCGCCTCGGGCCATGCCGTGCCCGCCCCATGCTTGCCTCTGGACCAGAGCCCGAACCGAGCCGCCTCCTTCCACGGCCTGCCCGCCTCCAGCGGCTCCGATTCCCACAGCCTGGAGAGCCGGAGGGTGGCGAACCAAGGAGCTGTCGACTCGCTGGAATACAATTACCCGGGCGAGGCGCCCTCGGGACATTTCGACCTGTTTTCGCCCTCTGATTCTGAGGGGCAGCTGCCTCATTATGCGGCGGGTCGCCAGGTTCCCGGGGGCTCTTTCCCGGGTGCCTCGGCCATGCCCAGAGCTGCAGGAATGGTGGGCTTGTCCAAGATGCACGCCCAGCAGCAGCAGCAGCAGCAGCAGCAGCAACAGCACGGTCTGTTCTTCGAGAGGTTCGGCGGGGCCCGCAAGATGCCCGTGGGCATGGAGCCCGGGGTAGGCTCAAGGCACCCCTTAATGCAGCCTCCCCAGCAGGCCCCGCCGCCCCCTCAGCAGCAGCCCCCACAGCAGACTCAGCAGCCGCAGCAAGCACAGCAGCAGCAGCCTCCGCCTCCTGGGCTTCTGGTCCGACAAAATTCGTGCCCGCCTGCGCTCCCCCGGCCCCAGCAGGGCGAGGCGAGCACGCCCGGGGGCAGCCTGCAGGATGGGGGCCCCATGCTGCCCAGCCAACACGCGCAGTTCGAGTACCCCATCCACAGGCTGGAGAACCGGAGCATGCACCCTTATTCTGAGCCTGTGTTCAACATGCAGCATCCCCCACCGCAGCAGGCGCCGAACCAGCGGCTGCAGCATTTCGACGCACCCCCTTATCTGAATGTGGCCAAGAGGCCGCGCTTTGACTTCCCGGGCAGCGCGGGAGTGGATCGCTGCGCTTCGTGGAACGGCAGCATGCACAACGGCGCTCTGGACAACCACCTCTCGCCCTCCGCCTATTCGGGCCTACCCGGCGAGTTCACACCGCCGGTCCCTGACAGCTTCCCCACAGGGCCACCCCTGCAGCATCCGGCCCCAGACCACCAGTCCCTGCAGCAGCAGCAACAGCAGCAGCAGCAGCAGCAACAACAACAGCAGCAGCAGCAGCAGCGCCAAAACGCGGCCCTCATGATTAAGCAGATGGCGTCGCGGAATCAGCAGCAGCGACTACGCCAACCCAACCTGGCCCAGCTAGGCCACCCCGGGGAAGTGACCCAGGGAGGCCTGGTGCATGGCGCCCCTGTGAGCGGCATGGCCCAGCCGAACTTTGAGCGCGAAAGCGGCGGCGCCGGCGCTGGGCGCCTGGGCACCTTTGAGCAACAAGCGCCGCACTTGGCGCAGGAGAGCGCATGGTTCCCAGGTCCGCATCCTCCACCTGGTGACCTGCTGCCCCGAAGGATGGGAGGCTCGGGCCTGCCCGCTGACTGCGGCCCGCACGACCCCGGGCTGGCGCCGCCCCCTCCGCCAGGTGGCTCAGGGGTGCTGTTCAGGGGCCCTCTGCAGGAGCCGCTGAGGATGCCCGGAGAGGGCCACGTGCCCGCGCTGCCCTCCCCGGGCCTGCAGTTCGGGGGTAGCCTGGCCGGCCTGGGCCAACTGCAGTCACCGGGGGCTGGAGTGGGGCTACCTAGCGCACCCTCCGAGCGCAGGGCCCCGCCGCCAGATTTCACGGCGCCCGCACTGGGGGGCCAGCCTGGCTTCCCGTTCGGCGCAGCGAACCGGCAGGCCACGCCACACAGCGGCCCAGGCGTGAACTCGCCCCCCAGCGCGGGCGGGGGTGGCGGCAGCACCGGCGGCAGCGGTGGCGGGGGCGCATACCCGCCGCAGCCAGATTTCCAGCCCAGCCAACGCACCTCGGCCAGTAAACTGGGCGCGCTCTCGCTGGGCTCCTTCAACAAGCCCAGCTCCAAGGACAACCTGTTCGGCCAGAGCTGCCTGGCTGCGCTCTCCACAGCGTGCCAGAACATGATCGCCAGCCTTGGGGCCCCCAACCTCAACGTGACCTTCAACAAGAAGAACCCGCCCGAGGGGAAGAGGAAACTGAGCCAGAACGAGACCGACGGTGCCGCCGTTGCCGGTAACCCGGGCTCGGATTACTTCCCCGGAGGGACTGCACCGGGCGCTCCGGGGCCCGGAGGCCCATCGGGGACCAGTAGCAATGGCTCTAAAACCTCGGGGCCGCCCAACCCTCCTGCCCAGGGGGACGGCACCAGCCTCTCTCCCAACTACACCTTGGAATCCACGTCGGGGAACGACGGCAAGCCGGTGCCCGGGGGCGGTGGCCGCGGAAGGGGTCGCAGAAAAAGGGACAGTGGTCACGTGAGCCCTGGGACCTTCTTCGACAAGTACTCTGCAGCGCCGGACAGCGGGGGCGCGCCTGGGGTGAGCCCAGGGCAGCAGCAAGCACCAGGCCCAGCCGTCGGGGGAAGCTCTACGGGCGAGGCACGCGGGGCACCTACGCCTCACGAGAAAGCGCTCACTTCGCCGTCGTGGGGGAAGGGGGCCGAGTTACTCCTGGGGGACCAGCCGGACCTCATGTCTTCCCTGGAGGGCGGGGCCAAGTCGGACAGTAGTTCCCCGCACGTGGGCGAGTTCGCCTCAGAGGAGGTGAGCACAAGCTACGCCAATGAGGATGAGGTGTCGTCCAGCTCCGACAACCCCCCGGCCCTGGCCAAAGCGAGTAGGAGTCCCCTGGTGACAGGCTCGCCCAAACTCCCTCCCCGAGGGGTGGGCGCTGGGGAGCATGGACCGAAGGCGCCCCCGCCCCCCCTTGGCCTGGGCATCTTGTCTACCTCTACCTCGACCCCTGACAGCTACGGCGGCAGTGGGGGCGCTGGCCATCCCGGCACGCCGGGCCTGGAGCAGGTCCGGACCCCTACGAGCAGCAGCGGCGCACCGCCACCCGACGAGATCCACCCGCTGGAGATCCTCCAGGCGCAGATCCAGCTGCAGAGGCAGCAGTTCAGCATCTCGGAGGACCAGCCCCTGGGGCTCAAGGGGGGCAAGAAGGGTGAGTGTGCCGTGGGGGCCGTGGGCGCCCAGAACGGAGACAGCGAGCTGGGCAGCTGCTGCTCCGAGGCTGTCAAGAGCGCCATGAGTACCATCGATCTGGACTCCCTGATGGCAGAGCACAGCGCCACCTGGTACATGCCGGCTGACAAGACCTTGGTGGACGGCGCGGACGACGACAAGACGCTGGCGCCCTGGGAGAAGGCCAAGCCCCAGAACCCCAACAGCAAAGAAGGTATATGCGCTCGTCCCGGTCCCCTTCTCACCTCCGGGAGACCTGCCCCACCCCCACTGCAGGCTTAGCGCCCCGCCCTGAAGGCTCCTTGAAAGGGGTGGGTCCTTGGGGTTGGGAGTGCACAGGGCTTTCTTAATGCCCAGCCCAGAGCGGGGTACCCTTCCTTTAACTTACACTGAGGGCTCTGTGAGCCTGCCCTTGCTTCCCCCTCAGGTGCTGCCAGGTAGACTCTCCTTCCTCTGGGCAGTAAGAACTTAGGTGGCAGCCCTGTGGGTGCCATTGCAGAGTCCCCTCTGCCCTCAAGTTTTAGCTGTGTTGCCGGGTGCTCAGAGGTCTAGGAGCCTTTCTTTTCCCACTGAGACCCCTCATGGCTCTCAGCCTTCAGGCAGGCTGCACTTCTTAGGGGCCGTGTGCCCCCCCCCTTCTTGGTAGGACACCTGGGAAGTTGTGTTAAGGCCTCCCCGCCTTTCCCTAGGCAGCCAACCTCTCGCCCAGCTCCCTTCCATGTGCCAGCATCTTTAGAAAAGAAAGTTCTCAGCTCTGGTTGTTCCCATCACTCCGAGGCAACGCCTAATTTGACATTTGCTCCTAATGAGTAGCCGTGTTGTCTCTTCTCCACGGCGAGAGTTGAGTTGAAAACTGGAGCCATGTAGGGGTTGTAGGAGGCAGGCAGCCTTTTCCAGGTGCGTCTCCTTCCTGTTTGGTGGGGCCGGGGTGGGGTCTGCTCGGCAGAGGCTGGACCACTCACCCAGGGCATCACTTGTGTGTGTGTGGGGCGGGGGCATGGATATATATTCTTAAGACACAAAGGACCTACGTTCGTAAATATCTCCATGGCTTTGGTGACAGATGTCCAGTCCCAGCTCTCCTTTGCATTCTAAGCATTCCCGCCCCACCAGGCCTGGAGGCTTTTTAAGGTGGGTGGGATGGGGGGTTAGTCAGTGAACCGCCATTCCAGTTAAAGTAGTAACAGTTTTTTTTTTAACCTGAAGAAGACTGGGCTGCTGTAGACATCAATTTTATTTTCATGGGACCTTTCCCCCCACTACCAGATAATGGCTTCTTAAAATTAGGTGACATCATCCCCCTCCCTACCCACATTCCTACCTTTTTCTTTTAAACCCTAGTTGAATCCTCTCGGTTTCAGCAGGCAGAATGTTATCACGAACGTTATTTATTCACCAGTGGCTGGCGATGTAAATGTCTTTAAAAATACACCCCTTGATTCTTGCTCCCTCTTAGAGTTCTTTTCCCTTTGCCCTTGGTTTCCTGGTCCTCCCACACATCCTGCTGTCTCTTGACCCCCAGTGTCAGGTGTGGGTAGGTTTTAGGAGAGTGGGATGGGCAGGAGGGGGAGGGGAACTCCGGCTGGAGTTGGGTGGCTCAGAACTCTGGGCTTTCAGGACGCCCGTCCCGGGGAAGCTTTCCCGCTTAGGTTTTCTCATTCATGAATGCGGCCTCGCTGCTTTTCTCTTTGTTCGCCTACTGCCCAGCCCGGGACGCAGTTCTCTCGTTTGGAGCCTGGTGTTTAGCATGCACAGCAGACGCTGGGGCCAGCATCGGCATTCTCCAGGCTTCTCCCAGGCACGGCCATAAATTGGTTAGTTTGGGACCCTCTGCTTCCTCTCCCCTTTGTCCCCCCCTCCTTTTAAAAATGGAGTTGGACACGACATCCTTCTCCCTCATCCCCCCCCCCCCCGCCTTTTATTTTCTTGTACACAACATCTCGGTCCCCGACCGATCGATAGCTGGTTAGCACAAATCCCAGCCCCTGTCACTTCTACCTGGCTCGGCCTGGCTGCCCCTCCTCCCCCCTTTCTCCCATCCCCCCCTCCGTAATTAAGAACATATTGGCCAAAACGGGGTGAGAAAAGTTAAAGAAGAAAACCCGATTTAGTGAATTAATAAAGAAAACCCGGTAGCACTTTGCCTGTGAGTCTTTTGAAAGACTTTAGGTGAAGTGGAATTGGGCGGTTTTAATGAGGGTTTTTTTTTTTTAAAGGTGTCCCACCACTCCCTTCCCTGTCCATCCAACTCATCTTCCTTCACAGAAAAAAGTAAATGAAAAGATGCAGGCCAGGAGTGAAGAAATGTCATTAAAGAAATGTTTCATTTTGCTTGTTGCCTTATCCCAGTCAGACAAGGGAAACTGTTGTTTTGCAAACAGATGTAGCCACTTTGGGGCTGATTTCCCCTGTGCACCCAACCGACCCTGCCCTGCACCCTGGAGGACAGGGGCTCCCTCCGGGAGCGGCTGCAGGGCTGGCCGCTTTAGAGGTCTCTGGCAGGGACACCCACTTGACCTCCTTTGTTTTGCACTCTGGGATGTGGGAACGACAGTTTCCTAGATAAAGCCCTGAATTGAGGTCACTCACAGCTTCTGCAGCCTCGGGGCTGCTAGTTAAGGCTTTGGAAGGTGTTTGCATCTGAGTGCTGCTCCCTTCCTGCTAGTAAATAAGGACGATTCAACTTTTCATTGTGATAACACCCTACAGTTCCATCTGCACAGGTTGTGTAAATAGGTACAACACAGCCTTCAGCGAGGCCCCTGAGAATCAGAGCGAAGTGTGCCCCTTTGAAACAGAGTTCAAAAAAGAAAAATTAAAGTGAGATGTTCTGCTTTTCCTTAAACACATGCCTGTATGGTCCCATCAGCCAGGAACCAGTGGGGTCCAGTGGCTTCGAATAACACCTTCTCTAGGTTCCAGCCTCCACTTGAGCCCTTTCTTTCCTCACCGGCCCCCCTCCCCCTCTAGGCAAAGCCCATTTTTGTAATGATATTTTATTTTGTCACGCCATAAAACACGCCAGTACTAATGTGATTAAATATTAACACCGTTTCTGAAATTCTTCGCTCTGATGACAAAATCCCGGTCGGTATTTAACAACGTGATCCCTGCTCCGATTGGAGAGAAGGAATTAAGTCTTCAGAGCGGCACCGGCCACGTAGCCAGGGGGACATGCCCAGATTGCTTTATGGGGTTTAGATGTCCTTTAGAAACTAGACCAGCAAATTGCAGTTCTGGAAAAGTCAAGGCCAGCTTGACATGTCATTACAATTTTTTTTTTTTAATCAGGGAAGTGAGCCTTCCAAAATTATGCTGCCCCTGACTTCTTAACCCACCAAACAACTTTTATATAATGAGACTGTGCATCTCATCCTAGGTTCTGTTTGCACAAAGTTCAGTGGGGGAAGGGTAAGGACATGTAAAGGAAAAAAAAAAATCCAGCCTATTCAGGCATATATTAAATCAGTGAGGATTACGTGAATTGGAAATTAGTTTGCAAAATTGTTCACCTATTTTTTTTTTTTTTTTGGTAATAGGTGTGTGGTTCTGGAGGAATTTCAAAACAGAGAAGGAATGATAGATTGTAGATGAAGGGTAGATTGTAAAAAAAAAAAAAAAGTATGTTTCTCTCCGTTCCTGCCCCTCTCCCCAGAATTTTCAAAGCTTGAATGAACCATATTTTGTGTTGCGTTTATCCTTGCCAAACTTCCATTCTGTTGGGTGCTTTCTATCTTAAAATCCGGAGCAGTCTAGAAACGCTCTTTGAGACGTGGAAGTGGGAGAGGTCTCTGCACTTGCTCTGCATGCCACCCTGCCCTTTTTGGAAGTATGACATTTTTACAGTGATGCGGAAGAAATTTTTGGAATTTCATGCTTCCCTCTGTGTTCCAGTCAGAACACAGCGAACAGTGCGGAGAAATAGTAGGCTGGGAGCGTTTGATCACTGCATTTTCTTAGACATGGGGCTGGCTCGGGGGAGGAGGGGTGCCCGTGCTGTTTTTCTGAATCCTGGTCCCTACTCCCCACACCTTGGAGAGAATTTTAAAGCTCGCTCACACTTGTCTGGGGAAGGCGAGGAGCCTTGCGTTCCTCTTGCCCCGTGAAACCGTCCAGCCAGGGTTGCATGCCTTCGTAGGACTTTTGCAGTCTCTGGAAGATGTAACCCAAAACTTCGCAGGTGTTAATCGTGGGTAACGTAAACAGGAGTCCCCTTTGTGCTGCTGATGTTAGGGCCTGCCTGCTCCCCAGCTCATTCGGGACCCACCACTACTGTTCTCGGTGCTTGTTTAATATTTCATAGCAGTAATAAACCTGTCTTCTTTGCCCGCCTCCCGACATAAAGCCCCAGCCAAGCACACAACTACGATTATACACTTCTACTAAATATTAATAAAGGACAAGGATGTTTGGAGGGGCTGAAGCTTATCGGTGTTGAACTTGTCAAGGTTTCTGCCACTGGATTTTTCTGGCTGTTTTGATTTTAAGTAGCCACGGCCCTCTCAGATGTAACATATACTTACGCATTCCCCTCAGTAGAAGTATATACAATGTTTGTAGATTGAAGGGTTTTCCTTGAGGATAGCTTTCTTTAATACAAATTCATTTACATTTCTTGGGAGGCCCCTTCAGACCGGAAGTAAGAGACTGTTGAAATGTACTTCTATTTTATTGCGATTTCTAGGAAAGCAGCGAGGGTTGGTTAATCTAATTTCTCTTTCTAGCAATGAAATTCAATGGTTCCTGATATGATTTTGTTTGCCTGACAGAGGTATTTAAATTTCCACAAAGAATCTTAATAGACCCTGAAAATAAGCCTGCCCTCGCCAAGAAGTTACTCAATACTCTCTGCCGATATTAAATCTACATGTTTAATAAATATTCTGCCAGGGCCAGGTGAAATTAGAGGTGGAAAATTCTTCCCACTGTGGAAGGGCGAACGTGCGGGTGTATCCTTGGAATTGCCAGGGTCCCCCCAACCCACTGCATGCTGGAAGATGTCACAAGATCACCTTTCTCCCTACTTGAGTGACAGTGACACTGGCCTGTGTTCTTTGCCCTGCGAGCGATCTCCTTTGCCCAAAGCGTTCAGGAGAAGAAGAACTCCTGGTGAGGAATACTGTATTTACCTCTGTTTCGTCCATTTGAGATGAAAAGGCTATAGCTTTAGGTAATAGGATCAAATGTTCTGGGCGTGTGTGAGGGCAGGCAGGCAGGCAGGCCTCCCCAGCATGTTGTGACGTAAACACCCCAAACCCTCTTGTGCCAGAGGGGACCTGGGTTCATTGGGGGCCCCTGTCACCAGTGGGGGCAACCTTGCAGCCTTAGCTTGCTGCCCCACCTGCATATTGCACCCAAGTCTTCCGTCTGGAGGGGGCTGCAATGGCCCAGCTTCATCACTGTGACTCAAGTCAGGGTTTTGACTTGCCCGGCGGTGTGTTTGTTTTAGGGCGAGGTCTATTTTTAGGCACGTCTCGGGTGGACAGATTTGAGTGTGGGTTTTGATTGCTAGTGGCTGAGATGTTGATGTATACATGAGTGCGTGGTCGAAAAGAAAGACATTTGGGGGGAAATTTTCAAGTGTCCTCCTTGCCTCACATACATGGGAGCCAAGCAAAGTGGTCTGGGGGCCAGCTGGAGAGAGCAGGGCTGTGGAGGTGCTGGGACTGGATCTCTCCGTCGTCCATAGAGGAAAGCAGCCCCCCCCACACCATGCAGTCGAGACCGTGAAGGAGCCCCCTCCTCACCCCACCCTGGGGTACACACATATCCATACGCAGGTCCCAGCGTATTCCCATCACAGCATTCACCTACTCCTCCTCTTTACCCTTAATCCACTCTCTGAAGGCCAGTAGGGGAAAAGCTAAACCTTCCATCTCAATGGCCTTGGCTGGCAGGTTCTGACTCTGTAAAGGGCTGAATGAGTGCAAGTCCTAAAAATAGAGGGAGGCATCTGAAGATCCTAATTATGAAATCCGGGCCTCCCAGCCCTCCCGGGCCTTGGGAGACTCTGATCTGGAGCACTTCGGCGGCAGACACACGTCGCCCCTCCCGGTTTTGTGCGTGAGCATGCACGGAGGTGTCTCACTGCCTGAGTTCAGCTAACACGACTCTTTGGCCAGGAGAGGAATCTTTGAATCAGCGCCCACCACCCGCTCCATCCCCCACTCCCCCTCTCAGCTGTGGGAAGCCGAGGCTGCTTCTCACTTATGGAAATTCTTCTCCTTTATTGTCATCTTTTGGTGCCAGCGACGTGGCACATTTTGGTCAGTGGCTGTCCGGCACAGAGGTGGCCCTGATCGTTTTCTGCCATCTACTGAAGACAGGACAGCACGCTTTCCACATGCAGCCTTGTCCGTTTAGGGTGTGAGTGAGAACATACCCATGAGCGTGCACCTCAGGGAGCCCAAACTCCGCACTTATTTGGTGACCGGGATTGAAAAGCTGAGTTAAATTTAATTTCCTTGGGCAAGGAGGAACACTGGAGAGACATCCTTCTCACGGGGTGTAATCACCTCACGCTTGCTTTGTTTGCTGGCCTGCATTTTAACCAGAGGCCTCTGACGTTTGGGAAGCCAGTGGAGGGTCTGCTCCCAACATAGTGTTTGCCCAGAGAGGACACGGGGGAGACGTGGGCAGTAGAGAAAAATCTCACAGGTTTCTTCACATCTTAAAATCCAAGGGGCTGTTTCCAACCTGTTCTGATAGCTTCAAATTTTGGCCCGACAAGTCCGTGTCGGGTTGGCGTCTCTGGGACCCACCAAGGGCAGGTCCGTCGCAGCCCCAGCGTCCCAAATTCCCACTCTCCCTCTTG